TTGAGTGCTCTGACAGCTGAGAGGAAGAAACTGTTTCTGAAGTGGCACACTTTTATGATTTGTATTGTCTGCCAGAAGCAGATAAAATACTAGAGTGTCAGAGGTGATTTTGAAGCCCTTTGAAGTTATATGGTGTACACAAAGATTGTACGGATAACAGGTCACATCTGATTATTTTAGATGCCTTATTTTGGAGGTACTGAGGATGAGATCATTGTTCGTGCATCACGTTACAGCATATACCAGCACGGCAGGAGGATTCATTTTTTCCTGAGGTCAGTCCAATAATACTGGCGTCATCAGCATATTTGAAAAACTTGACAGCACTGTTTTGAACTGCCGTATCCCTTCTGAAAAAAGACTAAAGAATGGGCAAGTGAACACAACCCAACACAACCCTCGGGTGTTCCCTATGAAGAGTGACAGTATAGGAGAGCTTGTACTGTTCACCCTGAAAACTGTGTGATTTTGCTACTGGATGTTGAATTGCATGTGCTGCAATAGCTCAGTGACAGAATCAGGAGTCTGAAGAAGTTGCACGTGGTGAACTGTATTAAATGTAGACCTGATGTCTATCAACAGTATCAAAGCATACATGTTCTGAGACTCCAAATGTTGAATATATATATATATATATATATATATATATATATATATATATATATATATATATATTTATTTTTTTTTATCCAAATTCACTTACTGCATTACGGTTGATCCATATGTGGTGAAGTGCATAATTCCAGTTCATGATGCATTCAAACTTTTACACAGCCAGAGATACAAGGGCAATGGGCCTGAAGTGTGTAGTCGAAGTGTGATTACTTTTTCGATTTTGGAACAGAAATGATGAAACACCTCTCAAAATATTGTGTAACTGAGCATTGTCTCAAAGAGATGTTAAAGATTCCTGTGCTAGCTTCTGTCTTCACATCAACACAGTTACTCTGCTGAAGGTGAGAGGTGATGGGTTCAAGCTGCCTTTCTTTTGTTTAGCCTAATGAAAGTAGTTCCCACCTCTTCTTCTTCTGCAATGGTGAACAATGGAGACATATTCATAAGTAGGGAAGGGGGATAACAGAGAGAAGTTCTGCTTTCAAAGGAAAAAAATGATTTGATTGAACGAGCTTTAGTGCTTTCCTAATGCCACATCAAGTTTGTATTTAGTGTCATACAATCTTATATAGATTAATATCTCCCTGTATACATGTTTCTTCCTGCATAGAGAAAATTCTCTACTAAAACAAGATTTGCTGTTGCCATGGATTTTCAGTTTCAGTGTAATGCACAGGTCTTTTCAGAAGTGAATATATGATGAGGTCCAAGCACAAATTCAAAGAGTTACACTCATATTAAAAAGCTCCCTCCACAGTGTGCACTCAGAATAACTCTTTAAAGTCTCCACAGCCTCTGTTGACCACAATTTAACAGTTTTTGGCTGGTTTTCTGTTGATACGGAAGTAAAGTAGCAGGAAGTGATCAGAGTGTCCCAGCATAGCTTCTTGAAATTTCTGCTATGCAGTCAGTATTGTTCAAGAATTCTAATCAACAACTTTTTTTGTTTGGTAAGACAGATTCATGGAAATTAAATGTACATGTAATGCATGTACAGGTCAATTAGAAATAACTTCCTGATCATTCTGAGAAAGAGGCCAACTGGGTTATGGTACAGCTGAACGATTTGGGGAAAATATCTAACTGTGATTCTTCTGACCAGTATTGTGATTTTAATGTTATTTTTCATCTCAAGAACAGCAGCACATGCATATTTATGGGCTTGAGGTCTGCATGCTAAATGTAGTGTGCCAGACTGCCAGTTCACAAGCTCTGTATGTAGAATGTAATTAATTGCAGCTCTTGCAATCTTTAAAAATGCGCTTTACGTTTTGTCATTCAGCCCTATATTATGTTGGTCACAATCATCCTCTTTGTAGGGTTATACACAATATAAAAAAAGCATACAGCCACAGAGAGATGCTCTATGCCCATCACTGTTCAAAAGCACACAGACAGACACAGCTTTCCTCAATAAAAGCCACATTTCCCACTGCTGCATTTCTACATACTGCCAGACAAAAAACTAGGCTGTTTTCCTTGGCTTCACAAAGCCTATTCCATGATACACTTAAATCTCAGGAGAGAACTCCATGTGGCTTTTCAGAGCATCTGTTCTCTACAGCTGTAGTCCATGTAGCAAAGCAGTTCCCTGTACTCAGACATAATCAAATTAAAGCAAGAAAGCATTATATAATTTAATAACACACTCTCACTCCTGAACAATCAGTGCACAACAGCAACTGTGGTAAACACAGGCAGGACTTTCCTCTGCTCTTTACACATTTCCCCTGTTAATAATGACAGGAAATGCCAAGCCTCAAACAGCTCAAAGCCTGAGCAGTCAGGAAAGAGGGCACAATCAAAATCCCAAAGAGTTAAGGGAACATGTGCAAGTGGATAAGCCAAACTTTACAAGCATAGAGACCACTGTGTACAGAATTAGTGTGCATTAAGATTCTGAAACTATAAAGTCAACGACTGTGTTTAACCTACCTGAACGTTGTCTTCTGATACTTCAATCTGTGCCGTATATATATAATCCACCAGTTTCTTGAGTGTCTGCCCATCCATATCCCTTATTTCAACACGTGGTGCCTTACTTTCACTCATTTCACCTGGGCACAGCAAACACAACACAGAATCAACACACTACCATGGAAAGAGCCTTGGCATAAAATAATAATGAAACACTTTTCAAGGTCATAGTGACAGACTTCACATGCAGAACACAGATCTCTAAAAAATATACCAGACACATGTCATGGGCTCAGTTAGTAAGAATTTAAATTAATGTTGTTCACTGCTGGTACACAAGCAGACACGGAAACATCCTATGTATAAGATCCAGTAGCAGGTAGCTTAGCCAAGTTCTTAAAGTTATGGCTCATCACATTTTGACAAACACGCTGAGCTATTTAAATTTACTGCACTAATTTTGGTATGCGTTTCATGATGTGACCGACAGCTCCTACTAAACAGAGTACCTGTGAACATAGCGCAGAAGTAGGGACTACAGGAAGCTAGAACCACTTTGTGTGCAGGAATCTCCACTTCTCCAGCTACTAGCAGCACATCGCAAAGCATCCTCCTGCTGTGATCATAAGTGGAAAGAAATAAAATATATTTTGAATATTATTCAACAAAAAATGAATAGACTGAATTTTAGTATATAACTGATCCAGGTCATCAACCTACATTAGAGTATTTTAGGGTAGAAGACACTGGTGATCCTTAAAACATGTGCTTAATGGGTACGCTTAAATGCCATGCACAAACCTTCTCAAGTCGTTCATTAACCTGAAGGCTTTCTTCATATGCGTATGCGTGAAGGTGTGCATCCCTGGGTCTCTACCATCCTCCTCTGAATCAAACCCTGGCAGAGCTGTAACTCGCCTCCTGGTAATGACATGAGCACTGCTGTACATACATACTCTATACATTGCTGTCAGCATATATCAACTGAATCTCTAGCTAACTGAGTTAAAGCGCACGCAAACAGCAGCTGCAACTTCAACTTTCTTCAAGAACACAAAGTCCTGCACTAATGAGATATCTGGCAACCTGGAAAAACTTACACACGAGTTACGTACATTCGTCATGCAATGTGTGCCATGCAAGACTGTCAGTGTGTGGTAATCATTGGCCACTAATTTCCCCAACGTCTGTTAAGTTTGCTTTTTTTAAATACATGTGAAGCAACGTTACTATTGCTCATTGTTTTGTAGGTAACAGTCTTAATGTTAAGGTTGAACATGCTGGTAACATAAAGGCAGTTTTATATTTAAGAAGGAACGGGCTCAGCCAATATACTTAATTATTTCTCTATAGTACTTATCCATCTCTCGTCTCCATAAACAGACCTGGCACCGAGCTAGCTGGCTAAGTTAGCTAATGTTAACGTTAGCAACACTCGGTCACAAAAAGCGTTCCCATGAAGTTGTTCAAAAAGAAGTTTATGTTTCGTTATTTTCATTACTGAACTCTTTAAAGACGTTTGACAGTATCCCTGCCCTCAGGACAAGCACTTACCCGACAAAGTCCATGTTTCCGGAGTACTATACAGCTAGCCAAATGGCTAACGATGTTAAAATTGCTAGCTGGCTACATGGCTCATCCCGCTGCGGCTCCGAGGCCCATAACTATTCGATTTCTTTTCCGCCCTACTCCCCTTGTAGTGACCGTTTAGTGGTCAGCAAGTACTACCATCTATCGCTGCACTTTCGGTTGTCTTTTCTTGTGTTTGAGGCAGCCCTTTTTGACAGTCTGCGGGCTTAATGTTTACATGCTGAGTGTTAGACTCTGAGGCAGTTTCCAGCCTTCTCTCTGCTCGCTGCCCTCTCACTCAGCACCGTCCAATCCGCGCGTATCCACGTTGCCGGGTAACGCACTAAGGATCACCCGGGAAACAGTGAGCGTAGGAGGCTGAGGTGCTAACATGGGCGAGCTTCTAAAGAAACCCCCTCAAACTTTCTTTCAAAGTCGCAATGTAGAGTAACCACACCAGTGCGAATTATTGCCCTGAACTAGAATTCAGTATATGTTAAACTACAGCAATGAACTGACCACAGGCTCCTTTTTGGGTCAATGCTTTCAAACTGCATCGTATTCTTGCAGGTAATGCTACATACATTAACACGTAATTCATACCACTATCTAAATCAGGGGTTGCCAATTTCAAGCAAACAGACCCAACTATGCCTCCTCCCCAGTACTAATTTCCGAATTACAGATATAAGTCAAGGTCACTGCAATGCGAGACAAAAATCACTGTTCTTGGAGCAGGACTTTTATTCTGCAATACCTTGAAAAATGGGCTGAAATGCTGTAAACTCAGCATAGCTCATAGGAGAAATGGCATTAACTAATCAGCCTCTATCGTCATTGTTCTTGATATCCCCCACCCCCACCCCACAGAAGAAGAAGAAAAAAAAAAAGACAAGCAATTTTATTCATATATTTTATTTAATCATCAAACATGTAAAAGTACAGTTCATTTTCTACATGGAACTCCATTAGCTCTGGTATTTCAACCAGTTTCAAATTTCAACTGAGGGATCTGGCAGAGCAATATCTTTTCACTTCCATGGCATGTTGCACAGAACGATGGTATGAGCCTCTGCAGCCTGGCAAAAAAAAACAAAAAAAAACAAAAAAAACATAAGAATTAGGTGGGAAACACTTGCATTAATATTCTTATGCAAATATTGTAATTTGCAAAGTTACCATTACAGCTGTTTTTCTGCTTTTTAGAATAAGCAATTCCACAGTAATTCTGTAACATCTAAATAAAACCCAGTACCATTAATATTTTAAATGCAAAATGGTTTTACCCGTGCTGTGTTGTCCAAGTACTCTCCAGGTACTCCTGGGCAGGAGCAACTGCTTTCTGAAGATTGCCTTTGGTAGATTTTAAAATAAAAAAAGGATTTTAATAACTTTCAAAGAAGTTAAAAATTAATACCTGTTTGGACACACACGCACACACCCCTCCTAGGTGACATGCTTACCTTATTTACTGGCAGAGATTTCCACATCTATCAGGTCAGTCAAACTTCATCCACCAGCTTGATTTAAAACCATGAAATTACTTAATCCCAGCAGTTTTGCCATTTCTGCAGGGAAAAAGATAGAGAGATGTTACTATGTTATCAAATAATTAGGTAGTTTACTAAATAGGCCTATTGGCCAAACCCATTCACAGTCATTCCTTCAGGGCAAATTGTATTGCTTAATTCATGGAAGGGAGGTAAAATGCAAGTTTTTTTTTTGTTTGACAATTGCACACATTCACACAGTTCAACAGGCCAGACCAGTGCTGATTAAAACTACTTAAAAGCCATGAAAGGTTTACTACTACAGTTTAACGCACAGAACAATCAACAATATCCAAGTCCGTTCAGTGTGCCATTAATGTATAGGGACAAAACACAAGCAAAACACCGAGATGATGAGGGAGGGGGGTATTGATAAGATGTAAGGTAAATAACTGAAGCCACAAACCTTGCATAAAAATGCTGATCTCCTTGCATTTGGTGTCAATAATATCTGGAACTAATGCATCAAGTAAACAGGAACTAAGCCCCACACTCCGGTAAGACCTTAAACTGAAAATTGTCTAAAATATTGGATTAAGACATAACTAAAGCGTAGTACCACAGCTTCACACACATTCAACAGTATATTCTAATTACCACTTTAGTCATTCACATGATCCTCAAATAAACTTACGTTCATAATAAAAATGTTTAAACTTATGTTGCATGCACGCTTTATTGGATCATCTAGCAAATACCTGATGTAAGTAGTTCAGTTGTTCCAGGTGGATCCATATGGTGTTTAAGACACACTCAATGTAATGTCTTGTGTATAAAGTATTTCTACAAACCTGAAACCTGGTGCGAATATCCTATGGACTTTCAGCTGGGTTTCTACAGCTCTGGAGTACCCCTGGAGAATCCAATGACGTAGTAGTAGTGGACACAGCTAAGGTATAGATCCGTCTTATCTGATCACTAAAAGTATTGGAACAGAGCTCTAGACATATTTTAAAGTAAAGACAACATCCTTATTTAATGGCTGGGGAAATATTAAACTCCCCACTCATTTGATGAAGCAATGATCAAAGTACAAAGACAATGAGGCTGAGACCAGGCTCGTCTACAAGTTGGAGACTAAGCTAATGTGTTTAGTCTATTCAAAATCACCCAATGAGGCTCATCGTGTCAATAAAACAATGGCTAATGGAACTTTTATTAATAGAAATACATACAGTTTAAGTGTAACTGAAAAACAATATTTAATAGGTCAATACCTTTCAGTAATACAGTGAGACAAAGCATTTAAAGGAACTTAAGTCCTCTTCTGAATTAAACTAAAGTAGAAAAACCGGCAAAGCCGAGATCAATCCTATCAGGCTGTTCAACGAACACAGGTTCACTTTAACATGACAATATTTTCCATAATAACGAATCAACTATTTGACATTTATTGGGAATCACATGTCAGTCACTATAACGGATGAGTAGAATATCTGATGAACGTGACACGAGAACGAACCATGACCTGGTCCTTCTACATGCTGCGCTCACAGCCAGGTTCTGAGCTCGAGGGAGAGTTCATCCGTTTTAGGGCGAAAAGATGCACCAAGCCCGCTCACCTCTAGTGACCAACAAGCCTAGTTAAAGCAGAACTAAGGGCTAAAAATTAAATTAACTGCACGGAAATTGACAGAGCTAACTCTGTTACATTAAGTCCCAGATTTAACACTTCATAAACTCAGGTAAAAAAATGAAAAAATAAAAGACACAAGATACAATACAATATGCTAAAAAGAGGAAACACATGCCTATGCTAACAAGCAAGTGGACTAATCTTAACTTAATTCAGACATAAGCTTTGTAAAAACAGTTCTCCGACAGGTAACCTGCCCCTGCCACCCAAGGGAAGTCAGATAAAAGTAAAGATCCAGAGTAGTAGTCCTATTAACTTGCTGTAAATCCGCCTAGTATGTTAGGGAAGAGATCGATGGACTGTTGTATAGCTGCTGTAAGAACTTGATCGCTGGATTTAATAGTATAGGCCGCATAGGTACGCCCTACCTATATTGTAGCTAGGCTGGATTAGTTGAAGATTCTTGTATGAATGGAGTTCGAGTCCTGGGGAAGGAGCAGCTCTTAATCTCGGACCTAAAATGCGCTCTTAATACGAGCCTCCGTAACCCCCCCTGCCGTACCCACTACCACCACCACCACCGCGGGAGTAAGGAGCGCTGCTTCTGCCCGAGTAATTAACGTTACCTTTCATTGGCCCATAGCCAGAGGACTGCTGGCCATAGCCGCTTCCAAAGTCATTGTAGCCGTTACCGCCGCCGTAGCCGCCCATTTGGTCCCCGTAGCCTCCCCCATACCCGCCACCGTAGCCACCACCGTAGCCGCCGCCATAGCCACCGTCGTTGCCTCCGCCATAGCCACCTCCGTAGCCGCCGCCATAGCCCCCGCCTCTTCCACCGCCATAGCCGTTCTGGGGCCTTCCCATGCCGCGTCCGCCTCGTCCTCCCCGGCCGCCACCACGACCGCCAGCCGTTTGCATCTCTTGCTTGGTCAGGGCTTTCTTCACCTCCACTTTGTGCCCGTTGATGGTGTGAAATTTGAGCACGACCGCTTTGTCCGCCGAGTCGTTATCGTCGAAGTAGACGAAGCCGAAGCCACGCTTCTTGCCGGTCTCTTTGTCCGTGATCACCTCGGCTTTCTCGACGGGGCCGAACCGCGAGAAGCATTCAATAAGGTGACTATCTTCGATGTCGTCTTTGAGACCACCGACGAAGATTTTCTTGACCTTAGCAAGGGCTTCTGGCTTTCCAGCGTCTTCTCGAGCCACCGCTCGCTTGATCTCCACGGTGTTGCCGTCCAGGACGTGCGGCCTAGCTGCCATGGCCGAGTCGGCCTCCTCCGGCGAGGTGTAGGTCACGAAGCCGAAGCAGCGGGAGCGTTTCAGCTGCTGGTTTTGTACAACCACGCAGTCGGTCAGCTGCCCGAACTGCTCGAAATGCTTGCGCAGTCCTTCGTCGGTGGTTTGGACATTAAGTCCGCCGACAAAAAGCTTGCAGAGTTGGTTTTCCATTTCCACGCTGGTTTAGTTGCCGCCAACAAGCTCTGTGATCCGTGTATCTAAAATGGCGGTTGCACGCTGTAATAAATGGCGGCGGAGTGAAAGGCGGTGACGTCACCGGAGGTCGTACCCTACCCTGATTTTCAAAAAATCACAAGCACCTCCCCCAACACAGTGTTAAAATGGTAATTTTGTGGTACAAACTATAGATATTTACAGCTGATTAATTAAACACACACAGAAATTTATTCGAAATATGGTGCATTTTCTTGTTATGACGGTTAAGCTTAACGTTACGCTAAGGTTCAAACAAAAAAACGAATGAATGAATGAACACAGTTATATTAACAATCACAAAAAACTTGTCCCTTGTCTTTACGTCTCATGCAGGTGGTCGTCGAAAAATGTATTTAATAGCTTTGTCAGGAATTGTTTCAGGGTTATGTTTTTATGCTTTCTCCCTTTATACTGCATAGTGCTTGGGGTAAAATACCGTCGCGTGTTACTAATAACGTTGGTGAAAATCGCATACGAAGCTAAAGTCAGCCTCTAATTCGCCAGCTTGTTGTTTTAATTTTTCTTTCCAGTTTAAATAGTACAGCGGTCACATTGGCGCATGTAACTGCTGCACCATATAAGGTAGAACGGGAAAACAAGACGTTGGCTAATAAGAAGCTGACTTCAGCTTCGTAGACTATTTTTACTAACATTGACTTAAGTCTCGTAAATCGCTTACAGTTTTGAGCGATATTTATGGTGCAAATGTATAAGAACCATTAAACAAAACTAGATTCCTAATTCAAGAGGGTTTCTGTGTAAGACGGACATCTTCAAAGAACAAAGAGCTCAGTGGAGACCAGGCTGTGTTTGAATAAAGAGGTGGAGGTGACGCGTTAGTTCCTTTAACCGCAGTGCGCAGGCGCGGTATCCACATAACACACCATTACAGCAAAAAATGGCGGCCGCCGTTGAGAATGTTGTTAAAGTGTGAGTTGAATTACCTTTTTTTGAATACTTGGATGAAAATTTACTGGTTGTTACCCTCATAGAATTGGGTAGTTTTATAGTGCAGTACTCAAAGTTCCATGTAAAGGAGAAAGAATTTGGTTAGGTAAAGTTATCGATTTAAAGAGTGGCTTGCTAACTAGCAAACCAGCTGCAGCTTCTCCATTCATTGTTTTCCAAGAGAAGCAAACCCTGGTCTTAGTTATTAACCTTTCTCTTGTCTAGCCTGTGTGAGTAATATTCAGCTGGAAACAGTTATAAGTGCTCTTTACTGAATGTGTAGACTTTATGCAATTTGTAGTTGTTGGTAAGAACGTTTTTATGTTTGCGTGTAGGAGACTTGCTCATCTAGCTATTGTTTGGTTGAAGAGCGTTTCTTTGTTTAACGTCACTGGTAATGGGATATTAAAGGGGAATTCCACCTATTTTTCAAAATTTCTGCACGGTTCAGTGGTTGAGATACAAAGGCATTCAGAATGGTTTGATCTGAAATGGTGCATTTGTAGAGAAACGTAACCTACCGATTCAGATTTTCTTTACAGTGGTGGTGATAGGAATCAGAGGTCCCGAGTCTACAGTACAAATGTAGCCATTTTATTTAGTTACTATCCTGAATCACTAATCAATCTAGACGTGTCGTCTGAGTTTTATATGTAACGTTGGTGATGCTAAAATAGTGGTAAATCCCAGCAAAAAAAGAGTTTTCTTTGAGGACTGTTTTGCCTGAGAACACCTTTTGTGTACCCCTTCAGCTATATGTTTTAGGCCAAAACTCTATCACACAACTGTTGTAAAGCAATGTTTCAGACACGAGACTGAGTATTCATAACCATTTTATGTAATAACTTTCTGTGAGGGAGCTTTTAGAGGCAATAAACACTTAAGACATCTGGTTCCTGTGACCACCACTGTGAACAATTCTGACCTCGTTAGTTTCTCTAGAACGAAGCATTTTACACCAAACCAATCTGAATGACTTTGTTTATGTCATAACCATTTAATTTTGCAGCATTTTTGAAACACTGGTGGAATTCCCTTTAAAAGAATAGTTCAGCAAAATCTAATGTACACAATTTTCCCCTTATCCTAGACATGTTCAGTGTCCAAAGTTTGCTTCTTTAGTTTTGCAGTGGAGTTACGAGGCTAATATTATAGAGGACTGTTACCTGTTAGCTAACTTAACCTATATTAGCTTGAAGCTCCCCTGCAAAACTAGAGAAGCAAACCGAACATGTCTTTGGCTGATTGACAAATTTTTGAGTACATTTGAGTTGTTGAACTATTCCTTTAAAAAATGACTGCAGTAACCAAGTAAATTTTTTATTTGTAAAAGGATTTGAGTTCATAATGTTTTAGTTTTTTTCCTGCTTTTGTTTTTGAATTGTGCTTTAGGTTGGGTGAACAGTACTACAAAGATGCTATGGAACAGTGCCACAATTATAATGCCCGGCTGTGTGCAGAGAGAAGCATCCTCATGCCTTTTCTGGACTCCCAGACAGGAGTGGCTCAAAGTAACTGCTACATCTGGATGGAGAAAAGACACAGGAGTGCAGGTTTGATCTGCTTTGTTTTATCCAGTACCTTCTTGTACCCTTTACCTCTATTGTTTCACTGAGTCCCAGTAGTTTCTCACTATAATCTTTGTCCCTAACTAGGCATAGCTCCAGGCCAGCTGTACACATATCCTGCCCGCCGCTGGCGAAAGAAGAGGCGAGCACACCCCCCAGAAGATCCTGCTTTAGTATTTCCCCCGCTCAAAGCAGGTATTTGATATAAGCTTATATAATAATAATAATAATAATAATAATAATAATGGTAATGCATCATATATGTCGCTGTCCAAAGAAAAACATCTCCATTTTTTTTTTCAATTTTTACTTTTCTGCATCAGCTTAGCAGCTGTCATTTACATTGTGTGAAATTTCATGGAGATTGGACCAATACAAATGCTGCAAAACTGCCTGAAATAAAATATCTTCACATTAATTTACATTGAAAGTAAAGAACATATTTGCCTTCTCCTGTGAAGTTACTATTTTGGCAACTTGTTTTTCTTTGGAGAGCCACAATATATAAAAACGTATAGGTATAAAAGTTGGTATAAAAATAAAATCTGATAGCTTATGTGTTCTTCTGTATGTCCCTTCTATTTCTTTCTTAAAGCGGAGCTAGAATTAGGGCTAAAGAAAGATGTATTAGGGACGTTGGATGGTAGCAGCCTGGAGGCCTTGCTGAAAGGAGAACCAATGGATAAGAGAGCGCCTACAGAAGTCCGGGGCCCTGAGGAAGACTCTAGTGTGGCAGAAATCACAGGCACCACTGGGGCCAGTAGCCACAGTACCTCCACACGAGTCAGAAAGGTGTGAATTTTTAATAAGACAGCTAATTTTTTAAGATCATTTTCTGAAAAAATTTATTAGACAATTGTTTCTAGGTATTTGTAGATGACTCTGTTATTAATGGCGGTTCTTCACACTTTTTCATAGAGAATACTGGAACCAGAAGATTATCTGGATGACCTGGATGATGAAGATTTTGAAGAGGAGACTCCAAAAAGACGAAAAGGAAAATCTAAGGTAGCTTATGCTGTGACGTTTCGTACCTTTTTGAATAGTTGGATGATTGATTTTGTCTGAAGCAGGAGGGAACTGCTGTGCTTTGTCTGTTAGGGTCGTGGAGTGGGAAATGGGAAGAAAAAAATGGAAGCTGCAGCAGCAGCGCTGGAAGACCGTGATAAACCTTATGCCTGTGACAGTAAGTTGCTTTTTTCTTGGATAAAAGCTTTGTCTGTTTGTGAGAACTTGCACATTCATTTGAACTAATTTTACCTGCCTAGTCTGTGGAAAGCGCTATAAGAATAGGCCAGGCCTGAGTTACCACTACACCCACTCTCACTTGGCTGATGAAGAGGGTGAGGACAAAGAGGAGGCTGAGATCCATGCTCCTGCACCACAGGAGGAGACCAAGAGTAAGTGTTCTCAGGCATATGCAGATTTTTTTTTTATTCAGTGCCAAGTGCTCAGTAGTTAAATAACAATGACCACTATAGCTGATAGCCTTTCAGTCCATTTTAATGCAAATTATGCTTTCAAACGTGTTAGACATTAGTCTTCCGTAGCTGTTTCAAAATCATTTATAGAGAACTTACATCAACTCTTTCATCATCAGCTCCTAAGAAAGGACCCAATGGTTTGGCACCACCGAATGATTACTGTGATTTCTGCCTGGGTGACTCTAACATGAACCAGAAAACAGGCCAGTCCGAGGAGCTTGTGTCCTGCTCTGACTGTGGACGTTCAGGTAGGTTTTGTCTAAAAAACACAAATTTACTAATTGAGTTTGTAGGTTAGCTATTATGCCATACAGCATATCAGTATTTTCTATGTGGTACTATTGTTGAACTATTTTGTACTACTTACTGCACCATAAGTGATATTTCTCTTTCCCAGGTCATCCTTCTTGCCTGCAGTTTACAGCAGTAATGATGGCAGCAGTGAAAACATATCGGTGGCAGTGCATTGAATGCAAGTGCTGTAATGTTTGTGGCACATCTGAGAATGATGTGAGTTCACTCATCCATACATGCATAAACACACTCTTTCTCCCTCACGTCACATCCCTCATGTCATGCATGCAAACTAGGGATGCACTGATGATTAATTTTAATGTCAGAATCTGATTTCCTTACAGCCAAACTGGCCAGTGGCCAACACATTATTTGCTCTTTAATGGGCTGAACTGGCATTTTAATTTTAAATCAGTTGCCTATTTAAATAGCATTGATCAAATATCATCGTCATCATCATTGATCAAAGTACACCAACATTAGCGGCAGCTAGCTGTGTAGCACAAGGGGTCAGGTATAATTATGCCAAGATGTTTTGGTACAGGTGTAGCAGCAGCTTTCAAATACAAAAAGAGTGCACTTATCTGACTCATTTACCTCATAAAACTGCAATACAGATCTGACCAAAAGAAAACAATAAATTGGCAATTTGAGCAAAAATCTGCTGATCCCAGTCTTAGCCAGTTCTGACTGTGCATCCCTAATAACCTTGTATAACAGCAAAACTAATACAGATTAATGTAACTTCTTAGACTTATCCTCTTCTGTTTGTGATGACTTAGGACCAGCTCCTGTTTTGTGATGACTGTGACCGAGGATACCACATGTACTGCCTCACTCCACCCATGTCAGATCCTCCAGAAGGTAAATAATTCACACAGTCCCAACACCAACATAACCATATTTATTAGTTGTGTTAAATTATAGCTATATTATGGATATAATACTTCAAGTCTTCATATTGTGGTAAACATCAGTCTACCAGGATTGGTTGGGGATATGTTGATATTTTGTTGTTGCTCATACAGCAGACCCCACTGTATGCATGCAGTGCCCTGCTTGGTAGAAAATTACATGGAATATGCTGAATGTTATTATCCAACTGAAGGTAATTCAGGGTGTTTTTGTTGTTTAACTCCCCCCTGACCACATAATTACTATAACTAATTGTAGTTCCAAACTAAAGCTGATTTGATTGAAGACAAAAATGATCAAATACATTTTGGTTAAGAAATCACCAATTTAGTAACCTTACAGTATGCATAAAACTGCATTTTTTCAAAAAAATATATTTATTATTCGCCATGACAACCCCAAGTTTTGTTTGGAATTTATCATGATATGCTCACTTAAGACCACATATAAAAGAGATACGCAACACTACCATCATTTTTTTTTCAGATATGTCACACAGAAATAGAACAAAAAAATCACAATATCACACTTAAGATTAAAAAAAAAGAATTCTCTAATTCCAGTTATTAAAATGATCTAAGTTCGGAGTCCTGGGGACACATGCTATTCCTGAACTGCTCAATTCTAAGTTTTCCAGGCTTTTCCCTGAAGGGAGGTCCTGGAGGAGAGGAAATACTGAGTTAGAGACATTATAATCACCAAGAGTTTCATGTTAAGGCTATGTATATAGTTAGTTTCCTCCTCACGTAGCTCAGTTTTTCCAAACCAAATAATTACTGAGACATTCAAAACCCTTTTTAGTAAGTTTTAGTTAGTATGACTGAATTATTGCACTAGTTTTCTCAGCTGGTTAAAGTTCTCTGCTTTCTAAATATAAACTGCACATTTTCATTCATTAACTCAATCCAGAATCTTTTCCTTTATACTCACTGGTAGAAACTCTGCAGCTACCTTCCTATAATTAATTGTATAAAGATACTGTTAATGCTGTGGAGTGCTTTAGATTATAGACTAGACCGACTGTTAGTGTTAAGATTGCCTGGTCCACACACTGTTTTGCGTGAAATTGAAGAGCGCAGTGAACATAAACTTCAATTAAATATGCTGATGACTGTTAATTAATTAGCACCGATTAATTAGCACCGATTTATGTGAGACCGGTGTGCTTTACAAAATAAGAACACTTTGTCTTAGCCACATTTTATCTGTTATTTGTCATGTTTTAACAAGACATAAATGCTAAAGTATTTAGTTGGAGCATTTTTGCATCAGTTTCATCTCCGTCGTCAGAAATGAACATTGAACTTAACACTGCCCTGTGTGTTGTCTCATTAACAGAATTTAATACTAAGGTATCATTGTGTAAAATTCTAAAGACAAAATCTGCTGATTGCTGAATCCATGAGTATCTGTAAAGAGTTGCAGGGCACCTTTCAGAATGGATTTAGCACCTGGGTCATATATAATAAATACATTCATTCAGTGATCTGTAGATGCATAAAAAAATAATCGTTTTCTACAAACAACTTGAGATATTTACATAAAACGTACAGAAGTTAACTGCATACCAAGGCTCACACGCCAGAAACAGTATTAAAAAAAAAATTACAATGTTTATCACTCGCAAATGTACCACTACTGCTGTGATTGTCCCCCAAACCTGTTGTATCCGTCCAGTGTTCTGGCACATTGTTGTAGTTGGTATCTGCACCATAGAGTCTAATTACTATTTGAGCTTGGTTGTCATTTTGTGTTTTTGCACATATAGGAAGTTGGAGTTGTCGCTTGTGTCTGGATCTTCTGAAGGACAAGGCTTCCATCTACCAAAGCCAGAATACTACAATGGAGTAATCACGACAGGACTGCTCATGAAACCACACAAGAACACACATTCCCTTCTTCCTCCTTACTCACAATAAAAGTCCTTTTTACACTACGTGTTCTACAGATCCCTCTCCTCACAACACCTTCATCAGCCACTGACCAGAAGCATGGCTTGGCTGAAGTGATTGTACAGCAGCTGAAGGAGTTTGGCGAAAGGATAGAGGGGAAAGGAGGCTTCCATTTGGAAATGAAAGCTCCGTGACCTTCACTTCACCACTGTCTCAGTGTACTTCTGTGACTGTTACACATTTCTACTGAGCACACTAAGAAAAGGAATGAAATGGATTATTTTCATAGATTTCCCTCATTGATTGATACTGGAGCTGATTTATTTGACTGAGCATCTGTTTTATCTGTTGCCAAATTTTTTATTTTGCTCGTTTACAGTGCATGTCATTAATCAAACTACATGGCCTTATTCCAAGATATGATGGATTTTATTATCTATATGTATCTGAAGTTTACCTCTGTTGTTGTAACTTTTCCTTGCAGGAATTCACGGTGCCAAGGTCCAAATTCACAAAGCAGCTTTGTTTTTGTTCCTTCTTTCCTTTAGGTATTTCAAAGAGTAAATGTCACATATTGTTTCTGCTCTAGATGTGTATGATGGGCAGTATGCAGTGATTATCTAAAAACAAAATCAGTCATATGGTAAAGAGCATATGATGTACTCTCATGCACAGACACCCTGATGGGGAAATTTCTGAAGGCTTATCTTTTTTAGTACAATTTTGTACATTATATACATTATATAGCTGGTATACTAACCATATTTAATGTTTGTTTACTGTAACCTTTTTGTATTTGGTTATGTGCTTTTTTTTATATATATATAAAACGGTGGAACTTTGTTAGTGTTTGGTAATGAATGTAATGCTGTTGTCTTTTTTGTTTTTTGTTTTTTGTGTATTGCTCTTTCCTCAATAAATATACATGTAACATAAGCAAGTGTTGATAGTTTCACATTTTCAAACACAGCACAGAAAATCTTAGCATTGCTACAAATACAGTAAACCAAGACTGCAGACTGGGACACTATTTTAACAAAATACAAAAAACATCCACTTAATATGACCTGATATAGCATTCACAACAGTATGAGACAAGCTTTAGTACTTCTTGGTTGAGTCCAGGTCCAAGTGCTTTCTTATAAGTTAAGCGATCAGATGCAATACAGCAGGATGTTTGTAACAAATGTAGATTTTGCACATGTAGATATTGTTCAGAGTAACTTGTATTTGCGAAAGACCAAATGTCTTTTGGAAATCTGTGCTTAGAGATGATACTGATACTGAAAGTTTGAGTATCGACTGATACGGATCCAGTATTTTTTCTTTAAGAACTATAACAAAGCTAAAAACAAAGTATTCACACAACTGACATAACAACTCCCACATATGCTTTGCTGGATAGCTAGCTACTTGCTATTGTTAAAGGGACATTCTAACCTTAAAAAGCATCTAAAAGTAGCATGTTATTTACACCGATCAGGCATAACATTATGACCACCTCTTTGTTTCTATGCTTATTGTTCATTTTATAAGCTCCACTTATTCCATCTGTTTCTCTCCATACTTTGTTAGCCCCCTTTTACCCTGTTCTTCAGTGGTCAGGATCCCCATGGACCCTCACAGAGCAAGTACTATTTGGATGGCGGATCATTCTCAGCACAACACTGATGTGGTGGTGGTGTGTTAGTGTGTGTTGAGCTGGTACAAGTGGATCAGACACAGCAGTGCTGCTGGAGTTTTTAAACACTGTGTCCACTCACTGTCCACTCCATTAGACACTCCTACCTTTTCAGTCCACCTCGTAGATGTAAAGTCAGAAGTGATAGCTCATCTGCTGCTGCTAGTCCTTCATCAGTGGTCACAGGACGCTGTTGGCTGGATATTTTTGGTTGGTGGACTATTCTCAGTCCAGCAGTGTTTAAAAACTCCATCAGCACTGCTGTGTCTGATCCACTCATACCAGCGCAACACACACTAACACACCACCACCACATAAGTGTTACTGCAGTGCTGAGAATGATCCACCACCCAAATAGTACCTGCTCTGTGAGGGTCCATGAGGGTCCTAACCACTGAAGAACAGGGTAAAAGGGGGCTAACAAAGTATGCAGAGAAACAGAAGGACTAATGTCTGTAATTGTAGAACTACAAAGTGCACCTATATAGTAAGTGGAGCTGATAAAATGGACAATGAGCGTAGAAACAAGGTCATAATGTTATGCCTGATCGGTGTGTGTCATGTAATGTTCTGTAGCGCAGTACCGTATTCCTTAGCCTCATCAAGCTGACAGAATTCACAACTGTGTTGCATTTTTGTGTTTTCATCCATCAACCGTTCTCTCACTACAATACCCAGCATGCATTGCGCATATACAACAATTGGAAATCCCCCAACACAGCCATAAAAAATGCACTGGCTAAATAAAATACAGATGTAATATTCAGATTCCTAGCAGTAACGCTTTGCTACATTGCTTCCTTCTGCATTAGCCAGGTAGCAAGGAAAACGTTAGTCTTTAAACTGGAAAATCTCTTGGGTCTATTGTGGCGTCACCGTAGGAGGCAGGTAGACACGTTTACAACAGATGTAAGTTAGCAATAATTGGGTTTCTTCATTTCGGCCGGCGCCCCTTTAACATTAGGCTACATGTGGCTACTATTGTTACCATGTGACCTACTTTATACAGCTTTACAACATGTTGCAGTACAAGTAACATCACAGTCATATTTCCGGTTAGATTTGTTACAAAACTGGATTGGATTTGTTCTTTTTATTCTCTAACACCCAGTCCAGCATTTTCTGTTGATATTGACCCCATAATGGGTATTGCATTGGTGCCATCTCTGTTATGATGCTTTAGAGATGTGGACTCCAGTGAGGTGACTAGCTGCCCCGTGAAAATGTCCATCTAAATGTCCCCTTCTTTTGCTTCTTCCCCTTGCAGAGCAGCAGAGCCTTGAAGGTGACCCGGAATTGCTTGTTGCAGAGTGCATAGCAGACAGGGTTCACCGTGCTGTTGACGTAGCAGAGCCAGTAGCCCAACTGCCACAGTCCCTCAGGGACACAGTCCTCACAGAAGGTGGACACGAGCACCATGATGTTGTATGGTGTCCAGGTCACTATAAAGGCCAGAAGAATGGCGCATAGTGTCCGAGCTGCTTTCTTTTCTCTGATCAGAGACCAGCTACGGGGCTTGCGGCTTCTCTGCACTGCTGCGTGGGAAAGAGAAGAAGTTCTTGTGTCTGTGTCTGGACAGGAGCTGCTAGACTGACCGATTGACTGTTGGCTGTCTGACTGATAGTCCTCCACATGGGTATCAGACTCGATGTCAGAATCATTCACTGAATCCAACCTTTTACTTATCCGAACTAGAGGAATGTATATTTTGTTGTTCTCCTCGTCTTTATTGCAGAGGCTGCCATTGGTGCCAGTCTGTGGGTGGCTGTTTGCGAGGGCAGTGTGGGAGGAAGGTCTGATGTAGTGCTCCCTCTTCTTCTTCCACCATGCAGCTGTGCAGTGCGTGATGGAGGGGCAGAGGCTTCTCGGCCTGTGCTCTGGATTCTGCTGGGCAGTTGCCTGAAGCCTGGACTGGGACTGGTGCTGAGAGGACCTCTGTGAGGAGCACATCCAAAAAAGAAAATATTGTTACACTATACCCTAATGAGGACAAGCTGGCCTATTTTTTGCTTGTTCTTTTAGTGGTCAAGTTTAATACTTATCTCTGTGTCCAGTTTACTCAGTTGCCTATATGGATCATTCTACTGAAATTGGTTTAAAGCCAGAGTTCGAAACTCTGTTTCATACTTGGATTTAGATTAAACCTTTTTTTGCTTTGAATGACCATAGAACTTAATTATGCTTAGTTTATTAAAACAAATGCTTGAACTTTCCATTTTGTCACTACCAAAACTATAATAACATTACCAAAACTTTACCAAATGTTCTGGTAGTGACTGTTTCCGGTAGTAGTTACAATTTTAGCAAATTTTGAGCATAACTCAAAAACAAATCATAATATTTTTTCATTCAACACAAAACAGTTTGTATTTGTGTTTCGGTAGTGACAATTCTAATCGTTACACACTGATTTTCAGATTTGGGACACGTTTTCTTCAGAGCTCTTCAAAGATCTAACTGCTCACCATGTGGCCCTGAGGGAGTTTCAGTCTAACTTACTGTTCTAAACAGCAGAGTCATGGCTAAAATAAGGCTCTCTGCATGGACTAAAACTCTGTGTTTCATCAGTGACATGAAAACATGAGATGGCATTTTTTTATTTAAAGTTATTTAAAGTATTTAAGTTTTTTTATTTAAAATTTAAACTCATGATAAATCAAAATTTTTCTAATTCACTTTAAAAATATAAAAATACTTTGAAAAAATAATTAAGTATTATTTTCACAAGTTGAAATTTAGGAGTTAGGGGTTTGGGACAGCCACCTCCTAATAAAAACTACACTATACATGATGATTTAGTATGTATTTAGATTATTACTCTCTCAATTAACGCCTTAGGTTTAAATAGATCATGACATAATCCTTGTAAATGTCTGAATATCTCATTGATATTTTTAAATGTGGGGCCACAATTCGAACTAATTTGGTAGAATCGTCCGTATAGTAAAAATACATCAAAAGTTCAAAAGCTTCGAATCAACATTCTCCATAATATGAAATTAATTTGGTTGGAGATACATGGTTAAAATAATTCCAATGTAATGTGCAACTGCACAGGTTTCAAATAACTAGTAGGAAACTAAAAAAAACAATAATAAATAAATAAATAAACCCGGCAAAATACTAAAAATTAGAGCTGTAGATGTTTTAAAATACCTGAGAAAGCTGCAAAGTATCTAGGTTGTTTTGACTTGGTATCAAAAGGCTAGATTTGTTACAAAATTGGATCACATTCAGTATCTTTCTCCTCTAATATCTGCAGGGTATGGAGGCCCACTCTTGCCAAGAGAGAAAATATAAACTGTTTCATTTCTCTTTTACTCATTCTGGCAGCAGTCTGTTAGATTTTTCACATAGTATCTCAAAATTATGACTTTTTTCCAAAACTTTGATTCTCAAAATAATGACATTAAATTTTAAGAATGTAAGTAAAAAAGTAAGTAAGAAAGTAAACACTTGGAATAATGTTTTCAAAATATTAAGAAAATAAGTCATTATTCTGACTTAGCAAGTCATTATTTTAAGATACTAAGTTAATATTTAGAGACAATAGAGACAGCTGCACAAGTGAGTTGCAGCAGGTCTTCAGCTGAAGTTTTGTAGGTGAAAAAGAAGGCAGCTTTCAGGAGTGGGGACAAAATTCCTCTGCCTCTAACATGCCAAATACAGTCTGGAAAAGGGATTAAAGCAACAAAGAGAAAATACTCAGACACGCTAAAAAGCTATTTTGCTGCTACTGATTCAACATCTGCCTGGAAAGGCCTCCAGGAGATCACGGACCACAAAGTGAGAAAAACTCCCTTTCTTCTGAACGATCGCCAGTTCACCAACAGCTCTACTGCAAATTTGAAAATGCAAATGACCGTCTCCCTCATCTCACCATCAATGAGTGGCACATTTACAGGCTCATCAGGAGGGAAGAGGTGAGAATGGCTCGAGGCCCAGACCCAGTTTCATCATCCACACTAAAGCACTGCTGTGATTAAACAGTACCTGGTTTCACAAACATTTACAGCAAACTGTAATAAAGGCATCATGCAGTATAATCATAACCATTTCATGTTAGAACTTTCTGCTTTTGGGGGCATTAAACTCTTCAAACGTCTGGTTACTATCGTCACCACTGTGAACAATTCTAACTGAGTGAGTTTCTCCAGAACAGAGCATTTCTCATCAAAACACTCTAAATG